AAGAAATTATATAGAAATTATATTCATCTGTTGTAGGAAAAAATCTAGTTTGTCAAAGCACAAAAGTTTTATTTTTAGAAGTATAACACCCTAATTATCAGCAATGCCACCAGCTCTAGCATCAATAGTTTAGGAATAATTAGAATTMKAATTCTAATTCTAATTCTTAGAATTAGAATCTTTCTAACTCTAAGAATTACAGAAAAATGTGATTAAAAAAATTAAATGATCATTTTTATCTGTCGTTTTTAGCTAATATTTTATAATTTAACTTGTTCCAATCTCCGCATCATTTTCAAATCTCAAGCAAGGTAGTGAAATATCCAATAGAAATTGAAGGATGGCATTACTCTATTTATAAAAAGGAAGTATGCCACTAAAGCTTTCAAAAAGAGGCTGCCCTAAACTTTAGTCACATCATTAATGATTTGGAGAGAATGGTACTACTTCAGCTAAATTACAAATTACAAACATCATAGCTGTGATTAGAATTGACTGAGATATTTTATGAGCCTTTATGAGCCTTTTATGCAATTCTAAGGTATACCTATTAACAACAGGTTTATGCTAGTAATTTGCATGGTTTAATTAGAAGTTCATCGGAAAAAAAAAACCAAGGATGTTTCTTCTTGAGGTAGGTAACAGAAAAGTTCAGTATTAACAATTCTGATTTAAATATTACCTATAGAAAAATCATAATAGTATTGGCAAGAGAGAAATAATGTTTTTCTCTATCTCTTTTTTTTTTTCATTTCATGAGGAAAGAATGGAATAGGAAAAAGGTTTGATTGCATTTAATACTTTTAGTTCTAAATCTAGATTATGGATAGTTATAAATGGCTCTCCTATCTACCTTTATTTCAAGGAGCAGCAAACATAACTCACATTCACTTTAAAGTACAGATTGTGGTGCATTTGCTGGTACTTAGATTTACATTGAAGTATAATACCCAATTCCTAGTCAACAGACATAGAATCGAAAGGCAAGGACTGGAAAAGGCCTCAGGAGGTCATCTGGCCCATCCTTGTGCCCTAGAAAGCAGAATCAACAGTATTTAAGCCATTCCTGACCGTATCTGTCCCTTTGCTTTTAAAAGCAGTCCAATGACTTACTACCAGTGAAAATGGAAAACAGTTAATGATATTTCTCATTGTTGTAGGCTGTAGTGTATCTGAAGGTAGCCATATCTTCTCTCAATATCCTCCCTACAAAAGGAACTGCAGGCCAGTCAGCATCACCTCTATTCCTGGAAAGGTGATGGAGCAGCTAATCCTGGGTAGCATTTCCAAGCACATGAAGGTGATCGATCAGGTGSAGTGCGCATGGATTCACCAAGGAGAAATCATGCTTAACCAATCAGATAGCCTTCTGTGGTGGAAAGACTGACTGCATGGGGGGAGCAGTGCTTGTTGTCTGCCTTGACCTCAGTAAGGCTTTTAATACCATTTCCCATAGCATCCTCATAAGCAAACTGGAAATATGGAAAATGGAAATATGGGCTAGATGAGCAGCTAGTGAGATGAGTTGAAAATTGACTGAATGAGAGAGCTCACAGAGTTGTGATCAGTGATGTAAGCCTAGTTGGAGACTAGTAACTAGCAATGTATCCCACAGGTCAGTACTGGGGCCAATACTCTTTAACATTTTCATTAACAGCCTGGATGATAGAACAGAGCACTTTCCCAGCAAGCTTGCAGACAATACCAAATGGGGAGGAGTGGCAAGCACACCGGAATGCTGTGCTGCCATTCAGAGACATTTTAACAGGTTGGGGAGATGAGCAGAAAAGAATCTCATGAAGTTGAATACAGGGAGGTGCAATGTCCTGCATCCTGYATCTAGAGAAGAATAATCCCCTGGACCAGGATAGGTTGGAGGCTGACCTGCTGGAGAGCATCTCTGCAGAGAAGGACCTAGAGGTCCAGGTGAACAAGTTGATCACGAGTCAGCAATGTGTCCTTATGTCAAAAAAGACCAGTGGTATCCTGGATTGTGTTAAGAAGAACATTTCTAGCAGCTGAAGGGAGATGATCTTTCCCCTCTACTCATCTCTGTGAGACTGTGGAGTGCTGTGCTCACCCCTTCAAGAGAAATATGAAGCTATTGGAGAGAGTCCAGCAGAGGGCGACTAAGSGGACTGAGGAAGGAACTGGAGTATCTCTCAAATGAGGAATGGGTGAGAGTTGGGCCTGCTTAGTGTGGAGAAGACTGAGGGAGGATCTTAACAATGGTCTTAAATACCTGAAAAGAGGGTGTAAAGAAGATGAGGCTGGACTCTTCTCAGTGCTCAGGGTGAAAAGCAATGGCCATAATTGAAACGCRTCAAGTTTTGTTTGAACACTTGAACACAAGGAAAAACTTTACTGTGAGGTTATCTGAACAGTGGAACAGCTTGCCCAGAGAGCTTGTGGAGCCYGCTTCCCTGGAGATATTCAAAAGTCACTTGGTCACTATCCTGGGCAACGTGCTGTAGGTGACCCTGTTTGAGCAGGACTACATAACTTTTAAGGTCCCTTACAAGCTCTTTTCTGCACAAAGTAACCCTATCTCATCATGGCAAAGCAGCATAAAGAAAGAAGCTCAGGGCAATTCCTTTCTTAATAAGCATGGATTTATGCTAAGTTAAAGAAAATGTGAAACCACAACTGAAGGATTGATAAATTCAAATAAAATCACATTCWRAAAWRWRARRRAKWGMRA